GCGTCGTACGCAAACACATTATTTATGGCGCACTGTCTCCCGTCACGGAACTCCTCGTGGCCGCCGCAGAGCGGGATGATGTGCAGGAAGAGGCTCCGTCTCACCCGGAATTGATTCTCCATGAAGGCTGTGAGATGCTCCGTGATAAATGACTGAGATTCACTGCACCACAGCGCGTCGTATGTAAATAGGATTTTTATTAAATTCGGATGGATGGCCATGATATCGCTCAAGTCCTCCAGCACTGGTGATTTGTGCAAGAACAACAGACTGGTGTCCGTGCCGAGACCCATCAAATCATACCCCGGCCGGGGGTGGTAATCCAATTTGTGCCTCCTGTTGCCACGGTCCCATGTAATGTTTTCCGCCATCACGCGGAAATGTGCCACTTTGCCAACATTTTCATCATCCGTCGCATCATCAATTTCACCTTCGCCGGAATTTCGTGGCAATTCTGCTGAATTTACGTCCTCGCCACCCAACGGAACCACCCTCACGCTCTTATCACCCCACACAGACAGCATCCAGAGGAATTCGTCCAAGTCACTGAGCTCCTTCTCGATGCTGTGCGTGGGAAAAATTACCAAATTCTTTATCGGCTCCCTCTGATTTGATATAATGTCCATTACGATGGCCGCTGCATGGCGAGAGCACAGAACATGTCCCTCCATTGGCACCGAATTAAGCAATTCACGAGATTTTATCGCCCTCTGCGTGTCGTTCACGCCATTCGAGGTGCCACAACGACTGAGGACAGCCAGCAAAAGGATGCTACGCAGAATTATTCCCAGCATTCTCCTGCCCGTCTTATCTCTCGCCCAGCACAAATTGTAATGTTGAAAGGAGAATAAACAGTCGTTCAAAATGTTTAAGGGGAATTCACACAGTTCCGCACCCTCGCAATTTCCACACAGGCCAGATATTAACGGGAAAGAGTATGGAAAGAAATTTCATGTCCAGCTCCTTTTCCAGCACACTGAATCTCTGACGAAATCCACTTGTGTGCGGTAAATTCTGTCTCTGCCAGTCAGTGTAAGATAGTGAACTCTATATGAAATTGACTGTCTTGTTTTCTGGCCCAAAAACGGAGAACTCAAGTGGAACAATATTAATTCAACAAATTCTCCGGCTTTTCTGATGGGTAAGCAAGCACCCACTTAATGTTTATCCTGTTCCTTTTCAAAATCACTCCTGCCCCGGGCACTTTTCGCCTCGGCGCTCCAACTGTCGGGGAAAACCACCAGAAAAGGCACTTCCGTGTTAAATGCTGAAGCAATACAATCATCAATGCCCTTTTATAGAGCCACCATTCATAGATGATTGCTCTCAGGAATAAATTCCCTATCCAAATGCTATATACATAGATTTCCCTATCTACACCTGTTCCAATTCACGTTACATTGACGGAAAGTTGGAGGGGAAGAATGAATTGTGTAATTATCAACTTATTAGCATGCTGTTTGTCTTCGATACGATAGCACTTTGTTGACCCAGGAGAAGGGACGTTAAACAAGCTTACGCAGTTATCGCACAATTTCACGACAAGAGGGAGTAATATTGTAATTGATTGTGGCTAATTAGATAATTAGACACGCCCATCTGTCTGCTCCGCCCACTTGAGTGTCAGATTGTGGCTTCTTTTCTGCTGCCAAACTGAAGATCATCAAATTGTTGCTCCTAACCTTGCAAGAAGCTGAAATATCAATTGGAAAATCAGTCGAGCACAATCCCATGTCAATAGCATGTGTGCAATGTAAGTTGACTGCTTTTTTGCCGCAACTATTGGGCAGTGCTCTAACGTTAAAATAAATATTTATACAGCAAACTGTAAATAAATGTACACCAATAAATCAACAAACACTAGTAGGTTGTAATTGTTTTCCCCTTATTTATAAAAAGCACCAAATAAATTGCCTCATTCATCAAAAGCGAGCAACTGCTTAGTGACATTCCTGTGGAAAATACATGAATTCCATGAGGCGAGCCGATGGGGACGCCTGGTGATTGGGAATTGAATAGAATTTTATTGCAAATCGCATCGATTTGAAGCTTCCTTATTCACTTTGATGTGACTGTATATGCCTGGCGAATTGTAGATAGACCAACAAATTAATATAAACATCAGCCCTATGTATTGCAAATGTATTATGTATACATAATAAAAGGCACACAAGTGCCTTTCAACGGGAAAAGCACAATAAAAAGTTGATGGAAGTGCTTTAGGAGAGATTTTTCTCTGGTCGTGGAATCTCTTCCATGTCACATTTTTCGCCAACTCGTGCTCATCTATTGCCATCGTGCGTAATACAATTATACATATAGTGTGGGGAAATATTTCTCTTTTCCGAAATGGCACAATGCGTGCCAAGACGTGAAATTCAATTTGTTAAAAATACAACAATCAACTCATGAACACTTGCTGATGTGGTGGCGATGGGAAAAGGGATGAAAAACCACTGGCATGGAGGAAATCCGTCAGGGGTGTGAGTTTGTGATTGATGAAGGCATGTCGACATATACGATAAAAATGTTACACCACTTTTCTGCAAGGAGACGAAGATGCTGTCGTGATTCGATTTTATCGACAACACTTTTAGATATAACTCTGCATATTACATGTACAAATAAATATTGCCGCACATGTTGTGCAAAAAGCTTCCACTGGGAATGCGTGACGTGCATTTTGCACAAAAAGCCCGGAGAGAGATTAAGTGCTGGGGAGCTTTTAATATGTGTGCGGGATCCAATTGAAAAGTTTCTCTACTGTGGCATGCCAAAGTTTTCAGGGTGACGACGATGTGATGTGCAAAAAGGTGGCAACGGAAGTGTGTGTGTGCTGTGCATATGTATATTATTTCAGTGAGAATGTCTCATCAGATGAATCTATCAATCATTTGTCGCGTGGAAGGAGATATTTTATGGGTATTTGCGATCCAAGGCAGATGGACTAGGATGAAACTTTTCCCAGCAATTTCACCAGCAGACACACGATAAACTTTCTGCATTAATTTCTCTGATGGTCTCCGTAAAAGCGATTTCGCATCATATTGCACCTGTTTTGCGCCGCACTAAATGAGGTGCTCTGTGCTTTTTTAATACATTTTTACAGCCTACGTGGCGAATGTGTCGGTGTATGGAAATATTTTTCAGCAAGAGATTCATCACCGATATTGCCACAGTTCATCTTCCATGCCCGACATTCTGTCCGGTGGGCGAAATAGCAAATAAATTTTCCTCATGAGACAAGAATTTCGCTACAAAATTCCTCTCATATGGCATTGCAAAATATACGTGAGCCTTTTCCTCAGGGAAATCTCACTGCTACTGATGTGCAAAAGGGAAAAGATGTGAAACTCTTCCACCCAAAGCATCTTCTCCTCTTTCGATGTTTTTGCTCCCCTTCGCTCATGCGCCGTGAAGTGGAGAATTTGTGTAAAATTCACTGAGTAATTTCACTATGTACATTTTTCGGCAAATGGTTAGGTACATATGTATGAGCATACTGGCGAAGAAACCCTTCGAGGGACTTCCGCCTCTTATCCTGCGAGCATAAAAATGCAAAACTCGTCTACGATAATTGTATTGCCGCTCTTTCTCCGTGCAGATATACTATTACACATGTCAACATCCACGCGCACAGTGTTGTATTAATAAAGAGACAATATTCCCAAAATTTCTCCCACGCGTGACAAGCAAGGAATTTTCTAATAACGGAACAGGCCTCAAAGTTGAGCACTTGATGGGTGGCAAATATACAAACACTCGCGTGTATTTTCCTGGTCAAGCATAATAAATTCCAGATATATTGTTTCGGGCACAGAGCAATATAAAGTGAGACCACACGATCGAGCAGTAGAGACACAACTCAATAAAACGTGACAAGACTCAATAACAATGCTCCCGTATTTCCTGCGCCCTGCAAGGATATGCACTGAAGGGATTATGGTCGCTCCTTCATCGCTAGAAGCTCTCGGTGGGTATTTTTGGAGGATGGGCAGCATTACGAGAGGAATCCAGTCGCTTGATTTATGGCCATTTGCAATCTCCACGGCATCTGCTACATTGGCAGCGTCCAAGCGTGGGAAAAACTGGACAAGAATCCAATGAATTTGTAAAGCGAATATCATGCACTGAATGTCATTAAGCGGAATAATCGAAGGGACGAGAAAGCGTTCTCGCCCCAACAACTGTTGCAACACGCCGTTCTGTCTCTCTGTCCGACATTAGAGGCCATTAAGTGGAGCAATTGCACTTGTTTTTGGGGTTCTCCCGATGTGTAATTATTGCAGAATGACTATGAGCGACTTGAGAACTTCACACCCTCTCAATATGCTGGCGAACACCTCGGCAGAGACGGCAGCAAATAGATGCAAAGCCACAGCCAGAGAGTACATCAATCTTTGGGGAATTTATGGGCAAAAGTTTCGATTAAATACAAAAGTTTCTCAAGTACTCCCACTTTGCCTTCTCCTTCTGGCATTCTTCGCAACATGATCGCCATGTATTTACTCTGTGTGCTATTTGTACCGCAAGAGAACCTAAACAAATTGCCCACCAATTTAAAGGACTTCCATTGACTTTATCGACTGAGTAATTCAAATTTGGAGCTCCGATATTAACCCTCAAGCTCCAGCGCTATAAATCGATTGGAGATTCTGCCAGTGAGATGATAAAAATTACACGTTCAGCACGAAAATTTATAGTGAAAGACGCTGACAAAAAATTAATGCACAGCGCAAGCTTAGATTCGAGAACCGATTTTCTCTTTAACTATGAATTTTATCGTGAAAATGATATAATGTAATTAATTTTGACCTGAATTTCAACCAGAAAAAAAACACAATTTGCAACTTGTTGCAGGTGCAAATTTCCATTCACTGCAGAGAATTGTTCATAGAGAAAATCACTCCTTGCAAACTACATTATAAGCTTCTCTAATTCTCCGCACAATTGGAAGATTAAGAAATGCCATATTAATTTCAGTAATACATTTTATTGCCGTTATGTGCTAAACAGAGCTCTTTACTATTTATTCATGGTTTCTTCTCATGCTGTGTTACCAAGTGTGTTACACAATAGTTATGCTTTTATATAAATGTCCAACACAAATCAATATATTTTTACCAATGTGTCTTATGCGCTAGAGATTATATTTACTCCAATGCCCATTGACTGAGATTCAATATATACACCAGTAATTTAAGAGTATTAGAGTATATTATGTAAATGTACAGTATATAAATCAGTAGTATATATTGTTTATTATTGATTCACGATATATATATATTGTTTATCATTTATCTTAACTCTACAGCATATCTATTTATTCTTTGAGTATAAACAATTTCTTTTTTTACTCTATCTAAATTTTGCCTTAGCTGGTAAATAAATGCCTATACATAGCTTGATAGTTGTCTCAAAATGTAAAATAAATGCTCTAATGAAGCGAAGAAGACTACAATTGTCAAAGTATAACACAAAGGGTCCCTCGAAATATCTTTAAACATGAATGCTTTGTATATTAAATTGTCCAAATTTGGTTATTCTCATCATCTAAATTGTCAGGTGCCGAACTTGCCGTCCTCTTTGATGATTTAATTATGTAGTAGTCAATTGTGTTGCAAGGTGCTGAACTTTGGGGCTCTCCAGCGGCGGTGGAGGGTTTCAAAGAGAACGAATTCGGAATGAATTCACTGTGAAATTGGATTCTGTCAATGCGAGAGCTTCTCTTGGGCAAATGATTACTCATTTGGCATTGTTCTACTATAATATTTGGCACGAAATGCCTCTCTGTCGTTTCAAATGTCTTAGGTTGCTCCCCAACCTTCTTACTATCTCCCGTCATATTTTCCCCCACATCCTGCTCCAATTTCAAGGGTTTTGCCGAGGCTCTCACCCCTGACGTCGCCGGAACAGACGCAAAAATTGAGTCGAACTCATCGAAAGCATCGCTGTGACTCAATTTGAAAATATCCACGCTCTGTTTTTTCGTCAACTTCACTCTATTCCCAACTAAATTCGACTTGCTGGCACTCAGAGTGCTCTCGGCCTCTCGTCCTGTGGATGTCATAACTTGCGAGTGTGGCAATCGCTCTCTCTTCGAGCCTTTCACTTGACGCTTCCGACGCGGCGGAGCGACCACAAATGTATGCGCCTCTTCTGCAGTCACATCCTCAATGCTGCGTCGGCAGGGTTCGAATTTTTCATGAATCATCTCCTTGGGATCCGGTGTCTTCTTGCCGCTGCCGCCCTTTGTTGGAATATGCAAAATAACCCCGCGCTGAGAGCCGCCGCTCCGATCACACTTCAATGCATACAGGCCGTAATTCTCACTCTGTGGATTCCGCTTTGACGCCGCCAAATCCAATTTGAGGGACGAAATGGTCGATATTCCCGCCTTCTCCCGTGATTCCTCCACATTTTGCCGCGTCGCGATGCTCAATATTGTATTTGATATGCGCTTGCAATTAACTCTCTCGCGGAAATTCATCAGCGTCTCTCTGTTGATCTTCTTCACTCGCGGCATCTTAAGAGGTGGAAGCAAATCTGAAATTTAAATGCAGAAATTATGATAGGAGCTCCACTGGCAGACAAAAAGTTGCCAAACTTCTTAAAAACTCCATCTTATTTCCACACAAAGTGCTCGCTTATGTACACCGCAGAATCGAGAGAGAGAGAGTGTTGTAATGGAAAAGAAGCAGCCGCACGGTTACATTGTTATCATCGCGAGGAACAAATTGTACTGAAGTTTGTACAGCAATTTCTGTGTCACTACGCATAAATTCTGCAATATTGCTAATTGGATTGGGATTCGTTCTTTGTTCCCTTCACACAAAAGCTAACATGTTGCAAAATAAACTCCAGTCATTGGCAATGTGTGCAAAAGTAGCGATTTTGGGGGAATTGCTGTAATATTCAATACCTTACATTTTATTCACCCTAAACGCATTAAACACCCCAACTTTACCCCCCGCAATTTGATATCACTTCGCTTCAGTGTTCAATTAACACAAATGCATTTGTGTGTCAAAGGTCACGAGTTCACTGCAAGAGAGCGCGCATGATTCTTAGCAATTTCAAGTGATTTTTAAGCAAAAAAAATCTCCAATTATGGTTTCTCAATCACTTGAATTGATTATGCACAAGTGCAAAGTGAATTTGCATAAAAATTTATGTAAATTGTCATACTTTTGGCAACTCATTGCGATGGAGAATGAAGAAAAAAAGGAAAACTTTAAAATTTTCCAATATACACTCAACTAAATTCTTACCCTATTCCCAGTTTTTGGCACATCTTATATGAAAACTTGCTTCTCAGCACTTTCCGTTGGCAATGAAAGTGGCTGAGGCTTGTTAACTGGAGCAATGGTGGTTCTCTTCAATTCCTTTCCCGGCGTCGTTGGAAATTTGTGGTGTCCGAAGAACTTTCTGTGCACGTTCATTTTCATCTTGGGCTCCTTCGGGATAATTGCAATAATCTGCCAAGAAAGCACTTTACACACTTCTCTGCTCATGAAATTTTCTTATGACTCTCTGTCTAAATACCTTTGGTAGATCAGGAACACTCTTCGACAGGATGCCCTTGCTCGATGCCAAAGCTTCTGGCTTGTCGTTCGCCACTTGTGGTGCAATTGATGGCGCATTAGTGTCTCCAGAGCATTTCATCTCACGGAAATAGTCAAAATTATTGTGTGGCTTCCAATGGATTGGCTCCGTTGGCACAGGGCACTCCTCTTGGCAATTCAATTTAGCTTGCGGCTCCTGCGGTGGATGCAATAGTTGCGACACAACTAATTCCACATTGCTGCTCGTGGTCTGGAGTAATTTCAGTGATTCCATGTACGGCAAATTCAATAAGGACACTCCATCGACGGCGAGAATCTACAAAGCAGAATTGCAATACAAGATTAAGCAGTGACGTAGGCTTCAGAATCTCTGGTTTTCACTCAAGTTTTAATGAATTGCTTAAATTTAAATTTCTGATAATCTTTCTAATGCTTCTGTGTGTGTCTGGAATACAATTTTCTACCAAAGAACACCTTAGTTATCTTGATGATGTGTTGAGAGGAAATTTCTGCACTGCTTTGATTGATCAATGAATGATGAATGAGTGATGAAACTCACCTGATCCCCGATTTTGATGCCACCTCTGGCTCCGGGGCCATTTGGCGCCAAATCCTTAACATACACATTATTGTCTGATCCCTGGACAACGCTTATTCCAAGCGTGCCTCCACTTGTCCTCTTGTCGTCAATTGCGACTGACTCCTGACTTCGCGACAGCAGTTTATTCTTCACTCTAATCAGCTTCTTGCTAATGCGACTCGGATTGAGGGTGGAAAATTTCATCCGCTCAAAACTGCTGCTCCTCGAGTCACAAACTTTATCCTTGACAATTCTGATTTTCACAATGATTCTATCATTGGCCGTGTTGCTGCAGGAGATGTTGTTGAACTTCTCCATGAGGGTGTCGGAGACACTTTCATTCGGCAAGGAGTAGTTATTCTGCATGCTCCGTATGGATGAATGAATAACGTAAGCTTCATTGTTTGCCGGCGGCGAATCGGGGCGCTTGTCGATGGCAAAGAGAATGGATGCCAAGCTTGTGCTCTTCAGTGAGTTGTCGCCATCGGAGTAATCATGCTCAATTTGGTGTTCGCTTATTGGGGCGAAACTCTGCTCCAGCAGACTGTAATTGCCCTCAGATCGTGCAGAATTCACGACATTGTCGCAGATATTGTCAAAGGATTTGTTGAGGAACTGCGACGAGAAGACCCTCGTGCCCATTTTCACCTTATTGCGATTCCACGTGGCGCTCCTGGGTGACGAATTGGACGATGCCGATGGCGGACACTCGTTCTCCTTGTTCTGCGCCTCCTCGCGTGTGATGTGACTCTGAGCAACTGTGGACATCTCGACAGAGGATTTGGATCTCTTGAGAAACTTCTGGCGCAACTTAATCAACTTGTTGTCATTCATCATGGACTTTTTCAAATTCCGCATTCGATTCCCTTGCGGTTTCGTTGGCTTCTCAATCTTTGGCACGAACTCAGGCAGAATTTCGTCTGGTGATGGATTCAACTTTCCCCTCAGCGGAACGTTCAGCTCACATGATATCATCTTAAGTGAGGCAAATGAGTTTCGCAGTGTCATGTAGAATTTATGATGATCCGAGGCGAGTGAGAAGGCAAAGTAACTCCTGCAAAATGAATTAGTCAACATTAGAAAGTGCTAAAGTGACGAAATTATGCTCAAAACTCACTTCCGCCCATCCATTCGCAGCTTATACTTAATTCTGTTAGTGTCTTTCGCCTTCAGACTCTCAGAGCTCCGCACGACAATGCAGAGAATGTGCTTGGAGTAGCAAAGATTCTCAATTTCCAGCCACTCAAATTTCGCATACAGCTTCCGCTGGTACATCATTTTCGAATTCTCCGCATAAATTTCCAAGTGATTGTTTATGTTGGGTGACAGGCTGCGCTGGAACAGGCAAATGCCTTTCAACGATATCGCCACAAAGACATTGAGGCTCGTGTGCTCATCCACCATCCACACTGCACTGTACAGATGCAATCCGTACTCCTTCAGCTCCTGCACGTAGCGCACGAAGTTGTGCTCCGCCTCCAGCGGCAAGAGGCCCCTCTTGTGATAGTGCGAATTCCGCAAATACTGCGCCATCTCCCTGTTCTTCTGGTACACACCTTCCGGCAAGTAGTGCGATAATGTGAAGTATTCCATGTATTTCATCTGCAAGAGGCAAAAGTACAATTCTTTACAACATGACCCGACTTTTCCCCGCTGCCAGGTAATTTGCCTGATTTATTTACATACATTCTCTTTGAAGTCACCCGCCTCAGCTTGCAGCGCCAGTCCGCCGAGAGTTATTAAATCATCGTCAGTACACAGAATGTGTCTCTCGAGGATGCTCTTCCGCAGCTGCAAGTACAGCATGTGTCGCGACTCCAGTGAACTGTGCGGAATAAATCAATACAGAGAGAGAGAGAGTCTTTAAAGCCCTCAAATCACATCCACTTTGCTGACTTACCCAATGCCTCTCAGCGTCGGCAAGTAGAATTTTATCCTCACAAAGAGAGAGAACGTCATGTTGTCTATCATATTTCCCTTCTTTGACACGTTAATCCACGCCTGTGGTGCAACCTTTGAGAAAGAGGGCATTTTTCACTAGTATTAGCATTTATATTGAAATATTCATAGTGCATTTTCGTCTTTGTGCAATCTCTGCCATAGCTTTTCTCCTGCATATTTCAGAGAATGGCATTTTTGGGAGAAAATTGACAAAGTTATCAATTTTTAAGCACATTTCTCATCGGTGCAGCTGAATTTATTGATGGCATTTTATGAATATTAATGATGAAAAATTAAACAGTAATTTGACTTCAAACGAACCTCATTATTTTAATCGAACCGTGAATATTTTTAATCTGATTGCAAACAAAAAAAACATATAAAATGACCTACAATTGCACATACATTATGACGAACTGTGATTTCCCAGGGAAATTCTGAATATGAAGCACTTCAAGTCTGTTTAATCACGAAAAAGCTCCGCACAGCACATTTTAAATTATCAGATAAATTGCGCATTTTATATAAGGAAGATTTGAAGAATTGTAGAGAAAGTTCTTTTGTCATTTGTTTGCAAGTCTTGTAGAACATTCTCTTGAAATAATTACAATTTTTTATACACAAATTCGCGGATTTCACATGGAAAAGCTTTTCCGCCCACACACTGATGAGTCTACTATTGCGTCTAACTTTAGCATAAACATGAAATTTACCTTGTAAACTTTGAGATCGAGCGGCAGGAAGACAAAATCACCGCCAATTAGTGCACAGATGCCGAGGAAGAAGTTCTCCGTGCAATTCTCCGACTCCATGATGACTTGGAATATGTCATAAGTTGTTGTCGTGACGGGATTACACACAATATGGATTATGTGGCCATTGAGCAGCAGGACATTGATGGATCGGCGATTTTGGCACTTTGCATCGGAAATATCAATCTGCTTGGGCGTTTCGAAGGATTTCACAATGAAATCGGGTCCCTTCTCACTGAAGCCCGGCGCTTTGTCCGCCGCATCCTCTCGCTTCTCCCGCTGTAAGCATCCTGTCGGGCGTCTCACGGTGAGTATTTGATCCGTTTTGGCATTTGTATGGAGATCCGGTAGTGAGACGCCACAAGTTTCAAAGTCAATTTCGGCCAATTTCCGATTGAAACTCTCACTGTTGTTCAACTCCAGCAAACATGTGGCAGATTTCGATGCATTTAGCAATTCCTCCCGGACATTCTGCAACTCCAGGCGATTCACATCAATTGTATTCCGTCGTAGAGTCTCCCTCTTGCGCTTCCTGCGGATCACCTGAAGCGTTCCCGAGTTTGCCGCATCTGCGTTAAACTTGGGCGCAGGATTTTCCGTGTTTTGCTGAAATGTCGGTATTCGCTTCACCTCCAAATGTATTTCACCGTGGTCAGAACTTCTGCCGGAATCTGTGTCGCTTCTGCAAGAAATTTATGATGTTATCACCATTTCATATTAGGCACAGACTGAACTTCTCACTTGTGTTCCTCCTGGGATTTCACCTCATCCGCCGGCTGGTCAGCAGCCAAGCCGACAGCACTTTGCCCCTTCTGGTCGATGACTTGCTGGAACAGTTCCATGACTGTGTGCGAGAAGGGTTTCACTTGATGGTGAACCTTGCAGTACTCAGAAATAACCTGAAGGACGAAAGAAGGCGAAAATATTGATAATGTCTCTCATCTGGCGCGCTCTTTTCATTGACATTTGCCGTGGAAAAAAGGGACAAAATTATCATAATGACCATATATATATTTTATTATTGAAACATGTCCACAATTTCATCCTTAATGGTATAGAAAATGTTTCCCATTTCCTCTTCAATTTTTCCTACGATGGCATCTTCGGTCAGGCCATTGTATATCTCCTCACTTCCGACCGGAACGTAGGAGCACAATTCACAGAAGGCAACATTCAAGCCACTTAATTCCTTATCTTTCAGCAAATATCTATTGTCCCTGGGAAATATTAAAATCCTCTTGCACGCCTCGTCGCCAATTGCGCCACTTGTGATGAAGATGTTGTGCGGAATATTTCTTTCACAGAGAAAACTGACGAGACGAAAGACCCTTGCTGACACTTGTTGGGCACAATCGGCGTGCCTGACAATGAGACAGAGTCCACAGGTGGGATATTTATCTTCCAGTGTGTAAATAGACTTTCCGAGTTCACGCAGAGGCTGAAAAGACATAATGCTGTAGTGTTTGCGGTGCGATGAGTCCAATTGAATCAATCTTACCGCCCTTTCCACGTACAACTCCCTCTCGATCAGCATCACGTGCAAGTGCAGGTGATTCACAGACGCCAGTGCGCCCGGAGAATTGTAGCCAATTCTGTAGAATCTGCCTCCCAATGCATCCAGCAGATCAAGCGACAACTCAATGCTTTTCTCCGTGAGCATCTGAGGCCGATTCTCCGCCAAATCCGGACATACTAGGCAATGATTGCGCGTCAAAGGACTGTTGTTAATCAGAAAAGACACCAGACTCTCCTTGTACTGCAGGACAAACAACACTTCATCTGGATTCACTTTGTTGAAATTAAATGCCTCCGGATTGAATTTCGGCGTGATTGAGCCTATAAATTGCGGTTTTCTCCGCAACTGAGTTCGTTGCGGATTTAACTGGAAAAATGTTGAAGTTGAAAAAAAAATGTTGCCAAAATATGACGCGCTTTTCTTACCTCAACGTAGAAGCCAAAATACCCCGGCAATACTTTACTCTTCGTCACATTCAATTTATACTTGAACAGATTTTCTTTACTCTCAGCTTCACTCCATTTCAATGAAATTAAATTTGCAAGATTGTCTCTGGCAGCAGAAAAGTTCACCAACTTCTCCATCATGCGGAAATGCACTGTTTAAATTGTGAAATAATTTTCCACTTTGCACACGGAATATTTAAAGGTTATGTGAGTTGGTGGAAGAAACGTCAATTTGCCTTTGGAGTTGAACAGAGTATAGATGACAGATAAAATTTGTAATTCTATTTTGAGCTTTGACTTCAAAACCGAATGTGGTTAAAAGTATTGAATTTAAAATTTCATGATGCTTTTGGGCGTATTTTTTGCTTCATATAAGACAGTCGTACCTTTTTCTCAGGATTGTCAGAAGACAAAGCAACAAACACAGTATGTTTCACTTAAATAATCCCCAAAATATTCAGGGAAACAATATTATTGGTTTCTTATAAAAGGATGAAGAAGCAGAACAATAAAGCTGTGTCAGATCCATTAATTATTCGTAAGAACGCTTTTCTCCCTTTAGATTTCTTCATCAACGGTAGATAATTCTTATAATTCTGTGAAAGAACCAATGGATATTTCGCGGATTTTTCACCGTGGAAAATATTCCATGAATGACTAAAAGGAATACCAATAGAATTATTCCATAATATCGTTTATGGAATTATTTGGAATTAATTGATGGACACTGGATGAATTTCTCCGTATTGAATCCATTCGTCATTGGAATTGCTGTAAGTTTGAGCACAAAAGTGCCTTATTTCTGTGCGCGAAATGTTCCTGTATTGCTGCTTGCCACTGTATTCATGCGGAAATACCGGAAGCGTTGAGCAGATGTCTCTGTTGCGAGCTCAGTCTGCGCTTAGTGCGGACACAATGTTCCAAAAGTGTGGATTTTCCACACTTTCCCACCCACTTTTCAGGGGGTGAAGGAATTTCCATTGATTGTTGGCACCAGATGACTTTCCCTCCTCAAATCTATTTTTCACCATCTGCATGTATTTGTTGGGTGATTCGACAGAATCGTCAAATCATCAGAAAAAGCACCCCGTAAAATGAATGAGGAGCAATTTCAATCAGATGTGTGGTCAGTTGTTGGCCATCGCAGACCATCAAATTGGCGTATAATGGTTGGTAATTGGGAACTTTAACCGCATTTGTCACATTCACTATTATGTCTGTGTAAATAGGCGCTGAAGCAGTGGAGAAGTGAAATTCTGCGGTGAGAGCTTAATTAGCTATGTAGGCACATTAGTGTATTACATGTGGCGGAACAGGAAGGTAAAATTCACAGCAAGATGTGAGTGATTTGGCGAAAAAGGATTAACAGTTGCAATTTTCCTCGCCCTTTATCAATCATACTGCAAAATTTATGACACACGCACGCAATTTGAGGGGCCAAATCGGCAAAATGATGAATGTGTGACAAGAATTTGGCCATAATTGAAAGAATCATAAAGAATTTGACGTTGCGAGATTTGGTGGCGACCCAAAAATACATAAATACACAAGCATTATGTGTACACTTATAGTGAGAGTCGAATAATGTGGAATTAGATGGTGCTTTTTGCTGTTCGCTCGCACGAAACAACCCTTCTATAAATCACATATTGCGGGTGTTTCGCCCAAAATGTACATAGACACATGTCTAGAAGAGATATGAGCGGGCTTGGAAAAAGGAAGAGACAAAAGGAAATCGTTTAATAATGTCCTCCGTAGGATCACTGGTGAGCTTTTGAAGTGTACGGGAGAATAGAAAATTTCTTTTCACTCTCTCTCTCTCCCGCTCCGGAGTTTGTCTGGCTACATTGTCATATTTCATGGAAATTTCTGGCTATTTCTTCAAGCCATTCGCACACCCTTCGCATCGCCTACAATGTGCTCGACGCTTGAGTGACGCGTTTATCATGCAGCCTACACAACATACGTCACTACCGACTGAATGGTGGTGGTGTTTAGATAAATCATCCCTTATTCCGTTCAACTCCCGCCGTCATCGTCACCTCCATGTTCACACCCGCGCGCTCGTGGCCCCTGTTGAGCCTTGCCCACCGCCCCCGCCCCCCTGCCCCCCGAGTAACATGAAACACTGGCGAAGTATCAGAAAAAGATGCCTATGAAAAATGTCGAAATTCCATTTCACAGACGCGCTCACCCTCGAGCAATCCTTTTCACTTGATAAAAGCACCTGAAGTCCCCGGAGAGACTAAAAGTCCATTTGTGAGTGATAGCCAGAAATATAAAGGAACACCCTCCGCCCACTCTCTCCATCCCCGCCACCACCCACCCTCTGTTAGCCCCCTTGATCAATACACGTATAGTTGCACGACCTCTGAAGAGTTTGCCTATTCAAATACTATCCGCAATGCTGCCAATATTTTCCTATTTGTTTGTTTATTTTTTATGTTTTCATATCTTCTGTTATCTCAAGAAGTGTTTGTTGTGGAAAAATCCCCCCTTTTTTCGATATGCACACAAACAAGATTGATGGCAGAGCTTTAAGGCATTTCCCAACATCCATCATTTACCAAAATCGCGCTCAAGTCTATAGTTTAAAACTCTTCTGCAAGAGAGCGACGGATGAAAGCCCTTCACCTCCTTATTTGTGTACACACACACAGTGAGAGCAGAAAAGTATATTGAGTGCAGGAATAAAATGGGAAATTAGAAGATAGAAAGCATCTAAAACGAGTCCTTTGTGCTATTCCCCAGGTTTCTATTCGCTCATCCGATAAATCTCTGTGATTATGTTCGTTAGCGCAATTTCTCCCAAGGAGAGCAATTGTAGACAACTACGCAATATATAATTGCTCTAATTTAACTGACATAGTCTGGGGGAGTGTGGGGGGGGGGAGACAGAGGTAATATATGGCCAAATATAATACCCTGACTTGACAAACAAAGCCGCTCTTGTTCAATAGTCATGACAAGCGCCTTATTCTTGGCCGTCAGGCATGCTTTTTTCATATACTCACATCCAACAAGTACATAAGAGTGCTCCGATTGTGCGGATTCCTATTGCACATTGACCGTATCACGAAATCCAGCGGCGCCAGTGAACTCTGACTCTGGAACAGTGTCACTTCAAGAGGTGCAGCTTCATCGTTCTCCACTCTCGAAGCCGCCGGCGAAGGTGGAATTGGGAGTGTTTTGTGCAAAGTGACCCCCAAAGAGTAGATCCACATCTGCAAGTGCGAAATGAGACACTGATAAGCGCCCAGTTGGGATTTCTGGGAAGGACTCAAAATGTAGGCGGAACTTCTGACACGCGCGCCTCGAAATTCTCTGCAGGCACTTTGAGAGCGTCAAAAGAGTCCAAAAGAATTTTATCTGTACAGACGAGTCTAAAAATACATTAGATTTTACACCGTTCGATTGCCAAAGCCGTATCCAAAATTCCTGATTTTCTTTTACTGTCTTAAGAGGGTAAAAAACTTTTTTTTTATTTAAAATTACTGGAAAAACTATTCTTTACAACACAAGACTGATCAAAGGTAATTTCACACAATGATTTAACACGAATTAGGCATTTGAAACTCGCACGAAAGCTCTTAGTGAGATATTTCTCGTTTTATTAGCTCCATTAGCGACATTGATTCTTCTCGTTGAGCACAGAGAAGTTGGATAAGAAAATCAGCAGCTTCTGAGTCAACATAAAGAATGCTGTGCAGTGAATGCATTTGACTTTACGGTCTTTTAGGGCGGAATAACATTTGGAGCAGAGATTTTCCTTGAGAGATAATTTCACTCCCACGTTAAACACAATCTGCACGAAATTATGCATATTTGCCCAAAATATACGTTGGGATGATTAAAATAATTTGCGAACACAACAGAACGCCCAACTTGTTTTGCCACCATTCAAGAGGGGCGGTTGAAATAACAAAAAGCTCAGCCGCACCCCTTCAATCTAATAAATCCCTCTCCTCGCAGCCACCTTATCACTTCCCATACAGATGTTCATGACACATTTTCCCCACACACGAACTCATTTGACGGTGCAATACGTGATTCGCGCCATTTCACTCACTGGCGACAAGCAATGTTTCACTGTGTCACCCAAAGAGTGCCACTGTTTGTCCTGGAGAGTCCTCGGGAAGCGAGGGACACAGAGAGTGAGCATCGAGTGTGGGAATTAATGAGCATCGCCATTTTTACCTTTTCAATATCCGATTCGGAAAACGTGATTTTTTTGCCCACGGAGCTGAGAAATTCCGGCGCCAAGTGCTTCACGGCATCGCCGCCAGCCATTCGGCCGAGCTCATGAGCAATTGTCTGGCCGGCGGGTATAATATTGAACGCCACACGTCCGCGTGAAGTGATTTGCAGAGTTGTAGGTGTAACCAGTGGCAGGATTCTCGATGTTGATGGCGTATCTACAAGTATATGGAGAGAAATAGATATAACAGCCTCCCCAATTTGATTATCCTCCTCATCTCATTTTCTCCGCCCACAAGCACTTGATAAAATAACCATAAAACGGTAATCGCTCGACCAGATTATTATGCCATGCCGTCTTACCAAAAATTCAGACATCGACGCACAGCTTTAAGAACAGCACGCATGAAAACTGTGATTCCTGCCCATCTACTCCCCGTGCCGCCATTACAAGCTGATGCGGATGTCTCTATGCTCGAGAACGATTCACCCTCGGCCGGATAAAGTTATCGCTTCAATAAAGCATGCGAAGGCGGAAGAGTCCTAATACTTTTCCCAGACGGAATTGGCTTCAGAATCAAATACCGTATTAATTGATTGATTTGCCCAGATGAAAATATTCTCAGGTGGCTTTATTTGAAATCCAAATTATATGTGCATCAATAAGGGGAAATTCAATACTACACTTAATCTCATTATCACATCCCCAAATTGTCAATAATAATTTTTACAATTAAATAAAGATTTCATCACTCGCAATTCCAGCTAATTTGTAATTCTGTATACGATTAACGCTGTTGGATTTATCACGGGACCAAAAAAAAGCCAAAGCCGCGAAAATTAGCGTAACCAACTTCAGTACATTTCCATGAAAATACGTACAGAAACACCGAATATATGACATGAAAAATTTGTTTTTGCCTGAGGAATTATTCCTCACATTTTATTTGATTTCCTTATGAGAATTTTCATACATTTTGTGCATCAAAGGGAATTTTCAGAGGGTTTACAAAAAGTTGGTTTTTCCGCAGCTGCTAAAAAAAGCTGCGCAAAGCTTTTGTAGGGAGCTTAAAAAAGCACCAAACCAAAACACATTAAAAACTAATTAATTTGTAAAACGTAAAAAAATATACTATGACTCGAAAAATATTTCATTCAGTTGAAATTGCATTTGAATGATATTCAAGTCAATTGTTCTTGATAATGGAAAAGCGCTCTTCACAAAACTTTTCCAATAAATTGAAAGTCTCTCTCTCTCTCTCTCACTCTCACTTCTCGTCAGTCAGTATGAATGTCAAGCCCTCGTTGTGATTAATTTTCATGAAAATTCATCATACAAAGACAAGAGCAAGTCATCAAGCGAAAAATTATGAGGACTTGCCGAACGGTATCTTCCCACCTTATGAAGCCCAGTGGAAAATGTTGACAAGCGTGGAAATACTGGAAAATTGGAATTCAATTATTTATCTTTGATTTTAATCACTTTCTCACCGACCAAAATCCACCAACAACACGCCCAAAAACCTGGAGCAATGGAAATAATTAATCATTCCGGGATTATTAAGTTGCTACGGTTTTAGTAATTATTTCAGGTAATAAGTGTTGTCAAATGAAATTGTACTCCGCTCCTCTTCCTCGATGATCAACTTTGTAGTCCTTCTACTCCAGCCGATTTTGCACACGTTTCGTAGATAATTTTGAAAAATTATCCGCCACTTATCCAACAGTGGCGCTGGCGCTGCCGCGAATGTCATTCTTTTGCTTTGTGCTGAATAAAGTACACGTGTTCGTGATTTTGCTCTCGAAAATGGAGCAAGAAATCAAGAAATTGGCGAAGCGGTTCGACAGGATGGAGCGGAAGCTGAGGGAGAGAAAGCGGAAGAAGAAGCAGAAGCGTCACGGTAAGAATAGAACTAAAACTTTCTGCTTCTTTGTAGACACCTAAAGTGAGGTTATGACACCACACTCCGGATAGCCAAAAGATGAGTTTTCACTCATCGTGGTCAGGTCATGCCCTGACCACAGCGCATTGGACACACATAAAAAGCTATTGAGCCAGGCGCGGTCTGCTCTACTGTTTTTTATGCTTCCGGACAGCCATGGTCTGAGGTGAGCCATGCTCACTGTGTCCCCGGAAAGCTCTAGTTTTCACTTGAGCGTGCTTTAAAGGCTATAAGCATAGCCTTAAGTGTGCATCACACGTCCCTTCTGAGTCATTACTCGAAGGAGAAGCACCTTCCGGTTGAGAGCGATATCTCTCATTGATGCGCAAGGCTAGCATCGTCTCCTGCCCACATCAATCTCGCGTCTACATTGACATCTCAGAGCGTCTACATTGACATCTCAGAATTGAAGGTAACCTTAAATTCTTTCTCTTCCTACGAACTTAGGGAGGAACAGGAGCACCTCAAGGGGCAGGAGCAGGATTAGGAGCGCCTCCAGACACAGGACGAGGAGCAGGAGTTCGCTGAGCAGCAGTGAGAGCCCCGACAGGTCGCGCAAGGAGGACGACATTCCTTCAATTCAGTCCCACAATGAGGCTGAAAGCGATTCTCACAAGAGTGAGGAAGATCCTCCACCAGATCTGGCTATCATCGACAACGATGAGGCTGATATTCTCACCGCGGGTGAAGTTATTGAAGTCCTGGGAAAGCGTCTTTACCAGGAAAAAGACTCTGCTCCGGAAGTCTTTCCCGAAATGGCCGTGCGTTGGGATGAAATCATTGGCAAGGGAATTCCAGATGATGTGCTCAAGATCTTAACTGCAAAGTATCCTCCGCCAAAGAACTGCGGCAAATTCGAGCCATCAAAACTGAACCCAGTTGTGAAGGCTACTATGTCTGAGAAAGTCGTTTCACGTGACAATCAAATTGTGAAACGCCAAGAGAAGCTTTCTGCTGCCTTGTCAGCAATCGCCACAGCGCTTTCTGTGGTGGTGACGTCTAAACCTCCGGAATGGAAGAGTCTCGCTGAGACTCTTTCCGATGCCAATAAAATCATCTCTGATGTACAGCACGACCAGGCGTTAATCAGGAGGACCCTGATTGTGGCAAATGTGGGTGCTTCCATGCGAGATACTCTGAAGGAAACAGAAATTGGAGAATTTCTGTTTGGCGATGCACTGGAGGAGACAATCAAGAATACCAAAACTCTCCAGGCTGCATCGAAGGATCTCAAGGAGTCGACTCCACGCACAAAAAACTGGAAAGCCCCGCAGCGACAGCATCAGCGAACGCAGAAGACTTCGACAGCGGCCAGCGGGGCAAAGAAGCAGACTTCGTCGAGGAAGCAGACCCACTACAAATCCAGGGAGAAGAGTCGCACCACGTCAGACTCCAGACGCCGGCGTTAGAGACGGTAGGTCATCGGGCTGGTCGGTTGAGAGACTTTTATGAGAGTTGGAGTGAAATTACTTCAGATAAAGTAATTCTCTCTTGGCTAGATGGGTACAGAATCCCATTTTCTCGCCATGTACATCAACCTCGACCGCCAAATGAGAAGAAATTCTCTCAAAGTGAATTCAGGAATATCACTTTAGCCGTTAATGAGTTAATAGCAAAATCTGCAATCGAGATTTGTTCTGCGGAGGAGGGGCAATTTATTTCTCCGATATTTCTTGTCCCTAAGCCTGATGGCTCGTATCGATTTATTATAAATCTCAAACAACTGAATCAATTTATTGATCCTCCGCATTTCAAGATGGAAGACGGTCGTACTGTCACTAAACTCATGACGCAGAACTGCTATATGGCATCAATAGACCTGAAGGATGCGTATTATTTACTCCCGATCGATGAGAGGGATAGAAAATACCTACGATTCTCGTTTAATGGCAATCTCTATCAATTCACGTGTCTGCCATTCGGACTATGTACAGCCCCATTCGTCTTTACAAAAATCATGAAGCCCGTGGCTTATTATTTGCGAAGTTTGGAGATTCCACTAGTCATTTACATTGACGATCTTCTGATAATGGGAAAATCGTCTCAGATTTGCGCAAATAATATGACGAATGCTGAGAAGATCCTGACGAAGTTGGGTCTCGTAATTAATTACGAGAAAAGCCAGATGAAACCATCACAATACTGCAAATTTCTCGGTGTGTTTTACAACTCAAGGAGGATGTCAGTTGAACTTCCAGAGGCAAAGAGAGAAAAAATTGTCTCTTTAACGAGTAACTTCAAGGAAAATAAGACGTATCGCATTCAAAAATTTGCTGAAACGTTAGGCTTTCTTGTATCATGCTGCCAGGCAGTTAAATACGGCTTGGTCTACACCAAGGCCAGTGAACTGTTAAAATTTAACGCTCTTTTGAATAGCAATGGTAGTTACAAAGGAAGATTAACTATCAATAAAGAGGTGGTTGAAGATTTCAACTGGTGGGCAACTGTGGGCTCACTAAGCATAAATCCCATCAGATATCCGTCTTACGATCATGTAATTTTCACGGATGCTTCCAAATCAGGTTGGGGTGCTATTTACAATGAAGAAAGAGCAAGTGGTTTCTGGTCTGATCGTGAAACACTAGAGAGTATAAACTTCTTAGAGTTGACAGCGGTATTTTTTGGACTAAAATGCTTTGCAAAGGATAAAAGAGACTGTCAGATTCTCTTGCGTGTAGATAATACTACAGCAATTTCCTACGTCAACAGAATGGGCGGAGTGCAATTGACAGATTTAAGCATTTTGGCCAAGAACATCTGGAGATGGTGCGAGCAGCGAAACTTATGGATTTTCGCATCATATATCAGCTCAGAAGATAACGCAGACGCTGACGCAGAATCACGTAAATTACATTCTAACACAGAGTTTGAATTGTCGAATTCAGCGTTTAATTGCATTGTCGCGGAATTTGGACAGCCTGAGATTGACCTTTTTGCAACACGAGTAAATGCAAAATGCAGGAAATTTGTGTCATGGAAGAAAGATCCTCAATCGATAGCAGTAGATGCATTTACAATTTCCTGGAAAGATTATTTCTTTTACGCATTTGCTCCATTCTCTCTAATATTGAGAGTCTTGCAAAAAATCGAGCATGATAAAGCCGAAGGGATCGTTGTTGTACCCTACTGGCCAACTCAGCCATGGTTTCCGATCTTCCAATCGATGCTTATTTCGGAACTATTAGAATTTCAAGCTGATACATGTATCATTTCCGTCGACAGGCAAATGCAATTTTGGGAAGGAGTTACCCTGGTGGCAGGAGTCTTGTCAAGCAGAGCTGCGAGAGGAAAGGAATCCCGTCGGAAAGTCATGAGATAGTGCTACAATCTCTTTCGGAGTCATCATGGAAGCAGTACAACACAGGATGGAAGAAATGGTGGGAGTTCTGCACAGACAACAATTTGGACCCCTTTGAAACGAATACTGAAAGTGTGTTTCGTTTTCTAACTACTGAATTTAACAAGGGAGTCTCTTATGGTACGCTAAATTCATATAGATCAGCCCTATCGATGATAGTTGGATCTTGGTTGGCCCAAGATGAAGGATTAAAAAGATTCTTCAAAGGAGTTGTTAGAATCAGGCCCAGTAAGCCAAAATATGATAGTACGTGGGATCCTAAAGTCGTGCTAGAGCTATATAGGCAGAAACCCATCAATGCGGAACTAACTCTTAAAGATCTATCATTTAAATTGATAATCCTCCTGGCTCTTATTACGGGACATCGAATGCAGACTTTCTCATTGATAAATATCGAGGATATTAGAGAGACCGAAGAGAGAATTGAAATAAGGATTCCAAAGAGAATCAAGACGTCAAGTGTTGGCCGATCTCAACCTGTGTTAATCATCCCATTCTATAATGAAGAACCCAAATTATGTGTGGCGTCGACTCTTAAACATTATTTGAGCAAAACAAATGAACTAAGAGGCGCAGAAAAACAACTTTTTATATCACATAAACGTCCACATAAATTAGTAGGCGCCCAAACTCTCAGTCATTGGGTTAAGAATGTCCTGGAAGAGTGTGAGATCGACACTACTGTTTTCTCGGGATATTCTACACGTCATGCTGCCACCTCGGCGGCAAATAGAAAGGGTTTAGATATTGAAGTGATTAAAAAGACTGCTGGGTGGACAATGAATTCACATACTTTCGTCAAGTTTTATAACTTACCATTGGCAAACAACAAGGAATCCTTTGCCAATGTAATCCTACAGGGATGAATTTCTAAAGAAAAAATCTTGTTAGAAATAAGATCTAAGCTGAAGTTAATCTATGAAATATAAAATCAATAATCAAATTTCATGGATATAATTTATCTTTAGCGGCCGTAACATCGCGTTGAACATCTACAAAGTTGATCATCGAGGAAGAGGAGCGGAGTACAATTAAATGATTAAACGAACTTACCAAGTGAAGTTCTATCATAATTGTACGAAGCTCCTCTTCCGAGATGATCATACCCACCCAGAATTCCCTATATTTATAAACCCTAAATAATTGTTACGGCCTATACAACTTTAAAATAATGACATTCGCGGCAGCGCCAGCGCCACTGTTGGATAAGTGGCGGATAATTTTTCAAAATTATCTACGAAACGTGTGCAAAATCGGCTGGAGTAGAAGGACTACAAAGTTGATCATCTCGGAAGAGGAGCTTCGTACAATTATGATAGAACTTCACTTGGTAAGTTCGTTTAATCATTTAAATATCTTCTTCGGAAAATATGTACTTTGCAGCGCACTCTATTTCTCACCCCGTTTGTTTGCTCTCCATTCAATGCAGATTAATTTCTGTTAAATATTGATAACGTATCTTCAGGAGATTCTTTTCACCGCAACACTCTTCACGGAGCGTCTTTCCCGTCAAGTTCCTCAAAAGCTCCTTTGCTTATGTACACACAGTTTATGTATTACATGCACCTTCGTCTTTATGGTCTTCCTTTTCATTTCGCAACTTCAGCTGAGACGCTTTAATTTGTCCTGCCATAAAACTAAGGAAAGTTGCTTATATGTATCAACCATATGTAGTGTGTTTTATGTAATATACACACCTATTTTGAATATTTCTTTAAGCATCCCTTCAAGACTCTTTGTTAGCAAACTCGCAGGGCGAACAACGATATGAAACTTTAGACTAGAAAATACTTCCCGTTGAATGTTACATTTTAGAGCAGATTTAAGAGTCATTATTAGAGTAAAGACGGGAAATTTGGTCATTGGCTTGAGAGAAACAAGCCAAAAAATATCTTTGGATGAGATTATTACTTATAATTATACTCAAAAATGGATTATTAACTAAATGATGGTTAAAGTTCTGGCAATCCTCACAAACTCTTCTTCTCTTCTTCGCTTTATTCGGCAAAGAAAATCACTCTAATGAAGCGTTATTTAAATTGAATGGATTAGATTGTAGCTCATCTGAACACATTGATCTTCGCCGAAATGGATAGAGAAACAAAAAATCCTATAAGAGGATTTCGTCTCTTACTTCAACATCTTTAAATTAAATCACAACGATTGTCTTGATTTTGTGAAGCAATGTGGGTGTGCAACATTGCGTACCGCTGACTTATTAATGAGGCAGCGACTTTGGAATCTTGCAATTAATTAACCTTCATTAATCCCTTCACGACGATACAATTTCATCCCGAATTCTTCCTATATCACTGCGAAAGAGCTCCACAGTCTCTAACTCAATTCACGGGCCAAAGGAGTGCTGGAAGCTACGCGGAGGAATCCCAAATAAAAATGAAGTTTATTTAGCCAGGAAATTTGATTACCTGCGAGGAACAAGTCCTGGAGCGCCTGCACAGTCTGGCACAGCAGCGCCCATCCTTCCGACGCTGTAAATCCACTGGGCCTCACATTCAGAGCGTCATCCAGTGTCACATAATTTAATTGATTTGCTGATGAGATGCTCAATGGACATCCGGTTGAAATGGAGCCGGAAACTTTGGCACGATGTACTTCTGCTTGGCACTTGAGCGCGTTTGATGTGGTGTCGGTGGCTTGATGTTGGGAGGAAAAAGGGAAAATGGGGATTTCATAATCCGTCTGCTGGCGTAATTGATTCTGAGCCGAGTCGGACTTGTGCAGCGTGTGGATCTGGTGCACATTTGCCACTTCCACCCTGCCCGCCGGGCAATTATGCCTGGTGAGCGCCTTCGGGAGTGTCTGGTAGTTCACTGGTTGCGAGCTGAGCAAGTTCTGATGGCTGCTCGAGCTCCTCACAGTCAATCGCTGCTGCTTGACGCAATTATCCCTCTTGCCATAGCGCTCCAGCGTCTGTGTGACACTGGCGCGCGGCAGGTTCAGGAACTCCCGCCGCAATTCCTCAATTTGCTGACTCTTGCGCATCTTATTGTCGTTTGGTTGATCGTTAAATTTGTATTGAAGATAAGGCCCCCTCGGTAGAGTGTTGCATGCATAGGCACCGTAGGTGGGTCGAATCATGTCATCCTCCTCATGACTTATGGCAAACTCCGCATCACTCTTCCGCCCCTCGCAGTCGCCCATCGACCGGCAAATGCTCTTGGGTAGTGTTGATGTGTGACTCCTCACTCCTGTATACATCCTGCAAGCGCAGACAGAAAGGGAAAGAGTTAAGTCATCACTCAATTACTGCAGATGTTCTTTCGCGCGCGGAGACTCGAAAAAATAGTCTCATTTAGAATTTTTTTTTCATTAGAAACAAGAATAATAGACTCAAAGTGCCATTCAGGGAAAAAACTTTCTCACTCAACAATGGCTTTGATTTTTAGGGCAAAAAAAGGGTATACAAGACTTCAATGAAATCGCCATGAAAATAATCTCGAGCTTATGCCAATGGTGGCGGAACTTTTTTGCTCTTTTGTGGATGATTCATAGGGAAAGAGATGTATATAACTTCGCTCCTAGTGAATTCTTTCAACCCTTCCTTCACACTCAAGTTCACAGCCGATAATGTGAAATCCCTCCACGAATGTCTAAAAAAAAAGACATAATCCAGAGTAGAATTTATTCAGCATTTTGATCTCCTATTCTTCCTCTCCTTCGTCATTTCAATACTGTAATTTCTCTCCTGCAGGACGATTTTCCAACAGACTTTAGAGTATAGAAAGACAGAATTTGCCCAGAAATATGCATAGCTAATATGATATTTCTATACATTTCTCTCCAAATAGCACAGCATACGTTCAATTTCACTCATTTTTTTCATTCTCAAGGAATTGAAAGTCTTATCTGTGTGCATCATTCTTTCATTTCTCCCTTATTTACTCGAGTTTTCTCAAATATTTCTCATACACAAATAGTTATTATATCTCTAGCTATAATTCATGTCTCGTTCTGCAAAAAAACCCACACAATGCGCAATATGGCATGCAAAATGAGTGAAAAAAATACACAAAGCTGTGTACTCTGTAACAGTTTAATTAAAGAAATATCGGTTTTTTTGTGTCGCGCGAGTGTTCTTGTAAATATAATTTCAATTTCACTCGCAAATTCAAATGCCCGGCAATTTTTCAGTCTAGCAATCGAAAGAAGGAAAGCACCGGATAAATATATATGTACACCGATGAGGATATGAGAGTCCTTGATTGTATTATACTATCGAGGGGCGAAAAACCGGAAGCACAAATAAATTGGCTTGTCCCGCATCCCGACTCACTTTTATATAAAACAAAATAACATTAAAGAACACAGCGTGTCGTGTATATAACATTATTTTGATGCTGGAGGAAAAAAAGTGGAGCACCTTCACGACAATATCCCTTCAGGTGGCAGCAATTTTTACATAAAACGTGATATTGTCATATAAATTCATTAGTCTCCCCTAAACAGAATGCAATTTTCCGTCCTCCCGGGCGAGGAGCGCGCGACAAGTCTTATAAAATGTTACGATCTTCTAAACGGTTACTAATGTTAATGACACGGCCTACGCAATTTTGCCACATAGGATTAAATTCTGTGGGAAACATTTTAAAAGCTTCTGCGTGGCATTTTTCCACCTCATTCGTGAATTATTCAAGAGCGAGGGCAGAATTGTTACAAGCCCGGCAAAAGTTGCGGAAAATATGACAATTTGCTGACTTTCAAATGATGATTAAACATAAGTGTACAGAAATATTTCCAAATTGGAAGGTCACATTGCAAAAGGAGAGGAAATTACAGTGGGGGCAAATTGGGGCACACTTTGTATCCAGCGAATTGAAAGAAATGAATAAGAGCTTTTCTGTGCACTCATTGATTCATATATATTGTAAGCAACGGATCGCTAATATTGCGCTACAAATGCACAATAATGAAATATTCCTATCGTCATGCCGCTGGAATCTCCTTAATATTGCATAAGGAGAGCTTTCAGAATGCAAATTGGTTAGACGAGATTCATTTATTATTCTTTTTTTCTACAAATGCGACAGCATAGAATACAGTTATAGCTGTGCATGTTGGTAAATGACTGTCACAATGGGAAACGCCAAAAGCTCAGTGAGAAAATAAATGTGAAATTTTCACATGGTTTCCGTGTGACATTACCGCAAATTGCGGCACCAGCACTTACAAATTTAGATAAATTGATTCAATTTTCATAGAATATCGCAGAGCGACTATGACAAGTCAGTTGGAAAACTTCCTAATTTATCAACGAAAACTTTCAATTCAACTCACAATGACATACAATTACCACAAATTGCTCTCAATCATATCCAACCGGTGCAATTTCGAATATCAAAGAAGCGTTGAAATGTTGAAGAAAACCCACTATTGTTGATCTATTTTATAATTATAGAACACGCCAAAATCGAAAAGCTGATAGGATTAATAGCTGTTCATGTTTCTGATTTGATATACATTAATTAAGCACAGAGTTCACTTAGAGCCCGCAAACGTGGAATTTCGAATGGATGATTTTGCTGGGTGAATGCAAAACCATGAAGCCAAAGCCTAATTTATCGAGATGGTAAATTTTCTCATTAAAATCCTCAACATTACACAGCGCACAAATATATATTTCTCTAATTGCTCGCCCTCCGTTGTTTATCCACATAGATTTTTCCATATTTCCCAGCGAGAATAATTTAATAAATATATTCCTTGTGTATTGAGAGCACCATAGAGAATCTCTATACATTTGAGAATTTAATCAACTTGAAAATACCATTCAGATTCTCAAATAGCTCGAAGGTAATTCAGGAAAAGCTTCAGCTGCTGTGGAAGAGCATTAAAGTGAATCTCTATGTAATTAATTTAAAAGGTGCACTTGCAGGGCTGGAAAACACACTCCAAGTGATATTGATTTACAGCACAAAAGGAGTATTATATGGCATTTTCTTTGGGGACAGCAAACGCCAAAATTTGCATAATTAAAGATCCGCTGCGGAGAAGTTTGGTGGAAATGGTAATGTCCTAGGGTTTTCCGTTTGGCGTCAGGATTGACGAAAAAAGGTTTGTATAAATAGGGAATTCTATACATAACGTCGCAGCTTCTCTGGCTTGTGTGAGCGGATGAGAAGGCGCACATCACTTCATTGCGGGGCCAAAATAGATACGACTGTATCACGTCTCAGTCAATAGTCGAGGAAAAGTCCTGGAAAGTGTTTCAATTGATAACATTCTCGTGTGATAAGCGCATTTGACTGGGGGTGGAATTCTCGAGGGGCTTCCGTCATGCCTGTGACAGGCCGAGCATCATCAATTACAGCTATCAAAGCGGAAATATTGTAGGCAAAGTATTTTTTGAAGGATCAGTGATGAGGATGAATGGTATTGGGAGGAGCATATTAAATGACTGTGTGCATATACCAAATTCTATACGTCATCAACAGGTCCTGTACATTCCTTAATAACATCACATCCTTTGGCTTTGACGTAGCAACACTTGGCTGGTCGGCTTTTTACAATGCTACATGATATGGATTTTGCCTGTCCTCTGTCGATATCCACCACAACGGGCCGTTCGCCCTTATCATCGTGATTGTGCCGCTGCGGCAATTTCTCGCACGCCTCGCCATCGACATCGAGCACTGAGCGATTCTCAGTGATGTGCACGTTGGCGGCGAAGTTCTTGTAGTACAACTGTTGATGGTACATTTGCGAGCGCCGTCGTCGGGTTGGTGGCAAATAGTACACCAGGCACGTCACTCCCACGAGAAACAAGAAGAACACAAACACGATATCGAACATCAGCAGGGAGTTGAACGTCATCAGCTGCATATTCCTTGATTCACATTCAATCCCTTCAATCTCTAAGTCATCATCATCACTTTCAGCCTCTTTTGATTAACCTCTCTTCTAATATAATATTTTCGGCACTTGCAACATTGTTAACTTTTGTTGAACACACACACTTCACCCAGCCTAAGTAGCATACATTAAATATCAATTCTTAATGTATCAACTCTGCGCCATAATTTATGTACTTGTCACGCAATTTTTCACATTTATCTCCCACCCTCGCGCGTGAATTTCCCTCGTTTTCCCATACATTACATTCCTCATGCGCCCATCACCCCAAATGTTGTTGCTAAATCAATTTAATGTCTCAGAATTTTCATACTTTTTTCCTCCCTCAACACAACACTGCACGATGATGACAATGATTATTTCCCTCTGGCGCTGATAAGACACATTCATTCAGGCTGTAATGCGTTGTATGACACAGCGCGTCTAGTGGGGGAAAATTGAAATAGTATATGACCATTTTGGTAAACATACGCACTTCATCATTCCCACCCTTTATCTCTAATATTACCCACGAGCAAAGAAAATGAGTATCGGAAGGCATAAAATTTTATTGCGCTAAGATGGAAAATTGTCTTATAAATATATGTTTATTGCGGGAGGTCAAAGAGAAACTCTAAGGTCGGGCAAATGCATTTACACAGTAGCATAGCTAAAAGCCCTACTTGACTCTCGCTTCGAAATTGTGCCATTTAAAATGAGTTATAGTTAGGATCTTTCGTACAGAGGAAGAAATAACTTCGATATAACGAGAGATTTTATCCAGAATTGCACGGAATCTACTTAAAAACTGTTTGTTTTTATTGCGAAAACATGTGTTTGTTGTGAAAACAAAGTTTTTCCTAAACTTTCTTGACTCAAAGCTCAAATGCTTTCATTTGTATATTTTGATAAGCCGTTTTGTTTTCAGTTAGCAGCGACGAAAAGCTTCGCAAACGCACGATATTTCATCCGCCCTCAAGATTCCTAATGAATTACGAATACTTTATGATACGTTTAACATTATTGCGGAAGTCTAGTAGGTGTTTGAGGACAAAAACGCAAATTTCAACATAATTCCCTCTCGTTGTCAAGCAACCCACATTGATCTTAACAGCCTAATAAATTTTTCAGCAGAACCCAAACTCTCCGTCACTGCATTTAGAGCCAATTTAAAACCAAAGACGTGTAAATCCTCCTCTCAAGTAAATTTGCTCTGTATCCAGCTGAAAGTTCCCTCAAGACTTTTCATATGCATTATTAATAATGTCATTTGAAAATTGAATCTCATTATTCGCGAAGCATTTTCTCTTCGCACATTAAATTCCCCCTTTTCACAACGCCTCACAGATTCACATCAATAGCATTTGACTT